AGAACAGAACCCCTGTCATTCTCTGGTTTCTGACTTATAAAATGAGATGCCTGAACTAGATTATACATATAGAGTCCTTTCACACTTTGCCAATGTATAAAAAGATATCTGATATTTTCTTTCTTCTTGCCCCATAAAGTGTTTTAATTTTTAAATATAAAGCCAATTTTCAATCTAGTCATTATGTTTCAAGGGGAATGTGTAATCTATATTACAGAGTTATTTTGAAGAATGATTAAAATAGGAATACAGATGCCAAATACAGAATGATTATCTTACATCTTAGTAAGAGATTGCTAAATAACCATGGTACACTTTGTTTGGAGAATTGACATTTGGCCTCAGGATCATCCTTAATATAGTGCTCTTGGCAGCCATTGCCAAATGATGGAAGCCATTTTGTTCTGAAATTTGTCATTTCTTCTCTCTCTCTCTCTCTCTCTCTCTCTCTCTCTCTCTCTCTCTTTTATTGGTTCTTTTACTTATACATGAAATTAGAATTCATTTTGACAAAATTATACAAGCATGGAATATATTGTATTCTAATTAGGCACCCATTGTTGTGGAAGTACACAATGGTGGGATTCACTTAGGTATTTTCATATAAGTACATAAAAAATTATATCAGATTAATTCCACTGTCTTTCTTATTCCTATCCCCCACTCTTCCCTTCATTCCTCTTTGTCTAGTCTACTGAACTCCCCCCGCATTATGGTTTGGCTCCCACATATTACTGAAAACATTTGACCTTTTTTTTGTTGTTGTTGTTATTGTTTTTTTTTTTTTTTTTGATTGTCTGATTTCACTTAGCATGATTGTCTCCAGATTCATCCATGTATTGGAAAATATCATAAAGTCATTCTTCTTTCTGGCTGATTAGTATTCCATTGTATATATATCCACAATTTCTTTATCCATTCATCTGTTGAAGGGCACATAGGTTGCCTCCATAGCTTAGCTATTGTGAATTGTGCTGCTATAAATATTGATGTGCTTGTGTCACTGTAGTATGGTGACTTTAAATCTTTTGGATGTATGCTGAGGAGTGGGATAACTGGGTCAAATGGTGGTTCCATTCCTATTTTTTTGAGTAATCTACATATTGTTTTCCAGAATTTTCCCTGTTTCTTGCCACATCATATATTTACAATTATATTATCAGAATAAATAATATATTTGCTGTTGAATAGAATAAATGTATTTTAATAGCCAACTAAAACTGGGTTATGTACTCAAATGATATTTATTCTTATCACTTTTATGTGGATATATAGAAGTTACAAAGCTCTTTTGCTTTCCATAATCTCATTGATTTTTCTCAGCACTGTGAGAAAAAAGCTGATATTATCATCTGCATTTTGCAGATAAAGAAATGAATTCACAGAGCAAGTAACCTGATTATAGTCACACATAATAAGAGTGGCTGATACTGAAGTCCAAGTCCTCTCTTCCATCTCCTGTACTTTCCACTGTGCCACACTATACAGGAAGTCCTTTATAATGCCCTTGAAGTGCAGAGCTGAGCCTTCCCACAGGCCACTGAACAAAGGGTAAACGGTCATTTGAGGAAGGAAGACCTAGAAGAAAAAATTCCCTGACACATTTGATATGATAAATAATGTCCATTGATTGAACTGATGAATTTCTGAGTAAGTTCATTTGTTTGTAGTTACAGGGATTTTATCTGCTTCTCCCCAGAACTGGCAAAGAGAAGATGAAGGGAGAAGCCATGATTCATCTAGAAAGGGCAGCTCCAGATGACAAGCTTTGGGATCTGTTCTTAAACTACCTGCCTCTCAAACCACAGTCGTCAATGTGATCACATCTTGCCTACCTTCTTCTGCCTCCAGCTTCCCCTACAGTGGGGTTGATAAGGATCCCTAAAGGGAGGACACCTGGAGAATGTAAATTTCTGTGGATGCTAAGTCATGCCTTAATCTTAAATGCATTCATGTCCCTCTATTTTTACCCATCAGATTGGCTTTTCTTCCTTCCTTTCTCGGTATTTATTTTTATTTTTTGAAAATTTAAAGTGTTGGGACTTCCTGTTGGAAGAGTATGAATTTGGCAAGCTTTTTCAGGATATTATCTATCAAAATTAAGATATCACATACTCTGACCCAGAACTGTTAGAAATGTGATATGTATGTATTTACACACACACACATAAACAAACACACACACACACACACACACACACACACACACTGGAAAGATTGCCAAGATGCTAACATACATGAACAAAGCAAAATCTTCATTATAGCCTTGTTTGAAATAACAAAGAAAAATAACCTGGAAACTGAGTGTTCATTACAAAATTATTATAATTTAAAAAAATTTTTTTAGTTGTTGATGGATGGACCTTTATTTTATTCATTTATTTATATGTAGTGCTGAGAATTGAACCCAGTGCCTCACACATGTGAGCAAGCACTCTATCACTGAGCCAATTATTATAATTATCATACATTCTAAAGCTGTACAATTGTGTTAAAAGAGGTAGATTAGCATATGGTGATATGAAAAGATGTCTGAGATACAACACAAAAGTTTAAAAGAAAGGTAAAGGACAGAAAGAATCATCTTAAGGCAAATGAACAAAGGATGGATTTGTATCTGTATAACTTTCTTGTCCAACACACACAAGAAAGTATTAATAGTGATTACGTTTGTAATTGATAGGGAGGGAAAATAGAGGAGAGCTTATTTTTCATGCACATTTCTTTCTATTTAGTTTATTATTTATTTATTTGCAGTGCTAGGGATCAAATTCCAGGCCTAGCACATGCTAGGTAATGGGTCTGTCACTAAACTACACCCTACTTTTTTCCTTTTAGCTCCCCAAATCCCCTTGTTTTTGTTGTTGTTGTTTTTAAATAAAATATTGGCATAGACTATCTAGATGTTGCAATGCTGGAATGTTCTTTTTCATGTTTTTAAACTAATAATAACCTCATACTTGAAACATTTAAACCCCTAATATGAACATGTAAGAATGTTAACACAAGCCAGGTGTGGTGGTGCACACCTGTAATCCCTGTGGCTACAGAGGCTGAGACAAGAGGATCACAAGTTCTAAGTTAGCCTCAGCAACATAGCAAAGGGCCTAGGTAATTTAGTGAGTCCCAGTCTCAAAATACAAAATAATAAGGGCTGGGGATGTGGCTCCATGGTTAAGCACCTCTGGGTTCAATCCCTCCTGGTGCCAAAAAAATAAAATAAAATAAAATAAAAATATGGGGTTGGGGCTGTGGCTCAGTAGTAGAGCACTTGCCTACATGTGGAAGGTACTGGGTTCGATCCTTAGCATCACATAAAAATAAACAAATAAAATAAAGGTACTTTGTCCATCTACAACTATATTTATTTAAATGTTAATACAATGTTTTTATTTGCAAAATGTTGAAAATAACCCTAATGTCTAGGAATTTGCTAAATTAGGATACATTTATGTGCTTAACCTATGCAATTATTCAAATCATATTCTGAAGAATATTGCAGGGGTTGGCTAAATACCTCAGATAAATTAAAAGGAAAAAAATAAAGCCGTATAAAGCAGTGTGGATCTCATGCATTTAAATTAAGCAGTAATAACTAGGTCAATGCATCCCAGAGCATTCTGAAGGCTAATAATAATAATTTGATACTTCAGATTAGTGAAGGGCTATGAGACATTTTCCATTTAAAAATTCTATGGTGAACAATCATTTATTCATCCAACTTTATTTTCTGCACCCGTAATGGATTGAATAGTTCAATGGCTGTGGTCACAACTAAATCTTCAGAACCTTCTTTCTGATGCTTCCTGATATAACCACACATCTGCACCATCTCTACACACCTTCTTTCCACTGAAAATCAGCACTTCAAAATGGTATATACCTTCAGCCTTACTTCAACACTCAAGAACAACAGTGCTTTGCAGAACAAGTTGCCAATCTCCCAAATTGCTGGAGTCAGTGGAAAAACCCAGGGGGTTTTCAGATGAGTTTAGGGCTGGGAATGTACAGGGAGCAGGCAGAGAAAGTGGCTACCTTCCGGCCACTTCTGAGAATAGCAAAGATTCCAGTCACCCCTTCCTCTCCCTCCTGCCTCTGTTCTCCTCTCCTCATCAGTGAGGTGGGCACACTGAGGGAGGAAGGACAAGTAATTCTGGTATGTTCTTAGTTTCCACTGTACCTCAAATGCTGGGACAGGAGCCATAAAGATGCCTTACCCATTCTTGTCTTGAACTCTCCACCAGTGGATCTCAGAACTGTCCAGTAGGTAGTACTCTTCATTGCGCTGCAGGGCAAGTTCCTGGGGATCGTTGGTTTGGTAGTCATACAGGGCAATAACCAGGGTTTCTTCAGGTTCCTGCAGGGATCGCTAGGGAAGAGGTGCCAAGACCAAGCAGAGTCATAAGAAGGAGGTAAAGGTCATAGCAAAGACAGCAAATCCCTGCATTGTAACTTGCTTCTGGATCTATGCCAGCTCAGCCCACCAGCTCCTGCCAACCCCTAAGGTATCTGCAGAGATGATCTATTTTTCTCTAGTTAGCTTTCTTTATATGTTAGAATTATGATGCTGAATAGAACTCAAAGGATATCAGTGCCCAATTTTTTCATTCTACCAAATAAATCCTGACAACAGTGAATGCCAAGCAGTCACATGCTTTCCACAAGTCTGCTGATTTCTCTGCCTGCACCCTGCCATAGGCTGCAGCCTCTCCACCAGAGCATCATGCTCCTGTGAAGGAAATGCAGGTGACACTAAGCCATTCGGTCCATGCTTTGCAGATTTGATTTATGAGTTCATCCCTAATCCATTGAATCATGTTGGAGCTGGGATTCCTCTGAGAGAGATCATTTAATCCATTCTTTCATTCAGGATGGGGATACAGGCCCAGATGGGGAAATGAACACAGCCAGTTTAGGTAGAAGTAGTCTTAAAATGCTATTAACACATAGGCTCTTTCTTTCACTTGAGACTGTCTAGCCTATGTCTCTGACCTGCAGTACCTTTCTTAGGATGAAATATTAAAATGAAGAAAAGACTAATGCAAACAATCACCAGAGTTCAGGATGGGCATAGGTTTGGGAATGAGGAAACATTGGAATGATGTAGTTACTGGCTAGAATGTGGCTTAGTGTCAGGAAGTCACAAGTTCTCTGAGTACATTAAAGTATTTGGTAGTATAAAAACACTGGAGTTAAAAAAGAAAAAAGAGGCTTGTCTTACTGATGTAGGCATGTCATCCTAGTGCAGCTCAGATGCAGATCTGAAATCCAGGTATTTGTGGAGTTTGTGAGGTGGTGGTGTACTGGGTACTACAGATAAGAGTTGATGGACATGAGGCTTTTGCTGAGGAACTAATGGGCAAAGAAATTGTGCTCAAGGGCCTCTGAGGAAATATAGGAGGGATATGGTATGGCATTTGTCTCCTGATAAGTCCATCTCACTGGTTAATTCTTATGAAGAGAAAGGTCAGAGCAGATTTCTCAAATAATGGAGGCATCCTTCTAAAAGTGTAGCACAGGACATCTGGGGGGAATATTAGGAATGTTAAAAAATTTGAGGTATGCTACACTACAAAATGCTCTTCGGTGCCCTACAACTTTTGAATGTCTTTTTAAATATTCTTCTGGTGAGAAACCTGCTTATAATTATGATATGTAAGAAGACCCTAGGCCTAGATCCTACTCAATCTAAGACAGAGTACTGAATTTCCCAGGAATGCTACTACCCAGTGCATGGAAGAGCGCTTACACTTTGCTTAACTGAGAATTTTACCAAGAATTTTTAACTATTTTGAAAAATCACATCACAAATATTAACATTATATTTGGGTCATCAGTAAAACATTCCTGCATCAGTTGGGTTCCAGCTGTCAATTTCAGTGGAATTCTACCTATAGGCACAAGCAATTGGTTATTCCTCCTTCTTCAAGTACAGCCATGCCACAATATTGATATAGAGTTACGTGCTATATATTTTTTTTGTTTTTAGTACTACACTTACATCACTTATTGATTCTTTTAAAAGGATGTTTAGATAGGTTGTGTTATTTTTGATTGTCTTTTCAGGATAACAAAGGGATCTTTGTAACATATTTGTCATAAAAAGGGAACAATGGGTTTGATAGGGTTAGGAACCACTAGATTAGAGTAAGAAGATCAAGGGAAGACATTTGTAGAAAATGATGGACTTTGTGCTCAAAAAGGCTGCTTGGAAGCTGAGGGGGTACAGTGAGGCTTAAAGTAGATGAGGGTCCCACGTCCTGGCTTCTCTGCTTTAAGCCTCAAAACACCCCTGATCCCCAAGAGCTCTCTTGGCCCCAGATGGGGAGAGCTCCCCTGGGCTGAGGGGCCCTCCTAGACAGCCTGGGTGGCAGTGGCAGGGGTAGAGTAGGGAGTGAGGGAGAAAGGACATAGGCAGACACAGTTCTGAGTGGCCTCTTAGGAGGCTCTTCTGGGTTGACTGGGAGGCGTCTTAAGGATGAGCTGAGCTCCTGTAAATAAGGGGGCCAAAAGGAAATGGAATTTGGACTTCAGCAGAAACCATGACCTTGTTTGCTCCCTAGAGAGGTCTGGGACTGTCTGACCATGGAGATTCTCCATTTTGACCCCAAACGGCCATCCTTCCTCTCTGGAGGACCTCTCCACAGTCTTTTCTCTTACAGCATGAGGCCTAAAACAGCTTAAAAACATTGTTCTCCTCAGGTAAGAGAGCAAGCAGGTAAAAAGAGAAAATGACTTCAAGCAGCTCAGAGTAAGAGAAATGTTGAAACCGCTTTAGAGGTGTGATTGAAATTAGAGCAATGGTTCAGAAACCCTGTGGTCACAGTGTTCAAAACAGTATGGATGCTGCTCCTTCAGGTCTGAAAAGCCAAATGGCAGAGTCCGAGGGGCGATGGACTTCACTTTCATGGACACTGAGAATAAAGCAGGGGCAGACTGACTTAGGTTGAGTGGAATGGGTTTGGGTGGGATTGCCAGGGGAACCATCTGCAAGTGAGAGCAGAGGGGTTCCAAACCACATCTGCAAGGAGAATGTTAAAGCAGTCTTCAGAGGGCCAGTGGAACTAAAGTAAGGAGCTCATTTTCTGCTACAGTAGCACAGCTCTTCCCTGTTGTGAGGGAGTAGGCTGATGACAGATCTAAAAACCAGCCTGAAGTTTTCAGGATTTAGATCTTCCTTCATGGGGAAACTGCCAGTTTTGAAATGTCACCACGTTGGCTGTTGGGGGTGGGGGGAAGCAGAGCTCAGTCTTCAAGAAGAAGCGTGAAGAGTCAGAATTGGTAGATTCTGGAATAGAGGAAAAGTGCTTAAATGTAGGTATTGGGAATTATATGACCAGAAAATGAAGGCCAATTCTTTCCTGCTTTTTGTTTTTGTTTTTTCCTGTCTTCTTAACAATCTTCCTCAGAGTTGGTGCTGTACCATGGAGTCATATAAATCAGTATATTACAGATTCTCAAACTTGAATGTACCTTAGAATCACCTGGAGGCTTATTCAAAGGCACACTATAGGCCCCTACCCTAGATGTGTAGATGCAGCAGGTTTGGGGTGTTGCCTGAGAAGCTGCATTCCTGTCAGGCTCCCGAGCAATGCTGATACTGCTGGTCTACGGACCAACCACTGAGAACCACCACTCAAGCTAAAGACCAGCACACCAGAAACTGCATCCTGCTAAGTGTGCTTTGGAAAGCCTCCAAGACATCTCTTGGGACTTGATTACCCAAGCTCTAAAATGAGAATAAAACTATAACCCTCTGAGGTGGGTAGAAGAGATACTTAGTTTTAACACAAATAATGAAAAATAAGGATATGCTTCATGACAGAGTGTTATCAAATTTATATCTCTAGAGTGCTAGTATGTCAAACCACAGAGTAAATACACAGTTTAATATCTGTGATTATAAAGTGAAAACGGAGAGGTGGGGCTTCAGCAGCCGAGTGGCCCTTGAAGTGGACAGACCCACGAAAGAGCACAAAAAACACGCTGAGTTGTGCTGAATCGCCAGATCTGCGGTATCTATCCAGGGTTTGAGAAGCATGGGCAGTGCCCTTGGGCCTGCAGCTCTGTCGGCCCACCTATGCCTGGAGCTGGCTACTCACTCACCCTGTTATCTTCAGGAGTAGGAGGAAGAGGCTTCTTTGAAGCTGAAACAAGAAAAACAGAAAAAGAAGGTGAGCATGAAACTCACTGGGCTCAACCGGAGGTTGGGGGCCTTTCAGAGAAAAAGGGTGGAAGGAAAACAACAGAGGGAAAGGGGCCAGAAGGAGATGACGAGACACATAGAAACTAGAGTTGGCCTTGGCAGAGCCTGTTTATCTCTTTCACCGCTAGTTTCCAATTACCTTTTCTAGAAAACACTAGAGACTTCTAGAAATTAATATTCTGAACTTTCTGTATTCCCAGGAAAAACTTGACTGGGGTGGGGTGAGTCTTGAGCCGTTTTCTGCAGGTACAGAGACTTCCACAAATGTATGTGCCACCTGCTAAGGCCAGGAGTGGGAATTGGTGACTCAGGGGACAGTGACTCACTGGTTTCCTGGTGTGTTGTGGGCCTGAGGAGGGGGTGGATGAGGTGGGAGGTCATTGCGCTCCTCTTTGAGTGGGATGAAATCTGCTTTTAATTGGCATTGAAAGGCCTCTGAACTTGTTGCTTTCCCTAAACTACAGCCCATCTCTCTCCACCTCACTGTCTGCCTCTCTCTACTTCTCTTTATGTCTCCATATCTCCCTCTCTTTACTCTCTTTCCTCTTTCCTCCCTTCTCTGCTCTCTCTCCTTTTCCTTCTCTTCATCCTTTCATCTCTCCATCTCCATCTCTCACTTTTCTGCTTTGTGGCACTGCGAAGGTCAGGGCTGGCATGAATGGGCCACCATTGTGTGTCTGTGTGGAGAAACACATATGAGGGTAGGTGAGAGATGGCACAGGCTTCAGCCCAGTGCAAAGATTGCTTTCATCATTAGAGATTAGAAGGAAAGGGGTTATATAGGCAGGCAGTGAGGCCTCATCTCAACATGAAGTGGACTTGCACTTGGACAGCCCCTGTCAAGGGATGTGGGAGAGGAGATGAGCACATTGAGGTGTAGCCCAGCCCTGTGCCAATTCCTTAAGCAAGGGCAGGCTGGGGTATGAACTTGGGCTTACAATTAATAGACAAGGATAACACACACACTAAGAAGAATAGTTCCTACTGCACTCAACATGAGCCGGAGACTGGTGGTCTGACCTCAGCTCTATCAATATAAGCTGTATAGCCTTGAGCCCCTTCCAGCACCAGACATTCTGTGACTGGCCTTTTTCTTTTTCTGTGGCCTTGTTCTTTCCTTCCTTCCTCTCCCTATGTGTGACCATGGTATGAAATGTGATTAGGGCTGGCTCTCATTACAGAAACCAGTGATGCTGTGGGTTGGTGTGGCAGGATCTATTTCTACTCAGCCATTTCTGCTGCTTTGCAGATACTCACACTGTCCTATCTCAGCCTCAGATTCTTTCCTCCACAAATAAGAAAGACTATTAGACACAGTTAGCATTTATTGAGAACTCTCTAAATGCCAGGAGCTATGCTAAGAGCTTTTCACAACCCCGAAAACCTCCCAGCAACCACACAAAGTATAGGAACCCTGTCTACATATGGTGGGTGAGGTTATTTAACTGAGGGTTGAGGAGATGCTCAGAGGCGGAGATGGCAGTGGGATTGCAGCAGGACAAACCATTAGCAGGTGGCTGCACAGCACACCCATGGAAGTGGCTGAGAGTTGCTAGGTCTAGGTTAATGTCGGTAGGAGCTTGACATGACCAGCACTAGTTATGGTGAGTCAGTCTGATGCGCCTAGCACCTCAGTCAGGTGTCTAGGATTCAGCAGAGAGAACATATGTGCATACTGCAAAGGAATAGTTGCAACATGCACATTGAAAACTGCAAAATGGAAACACAGATTCAAGGAATTTTAGAGTTGGAAGGGGCCATGGGTATTTTTTCATTTTCAGCCCCTAAGATCTCTCCTACCATTTTAGAGACAAGGGCATTGATGGTCAAGTGACTCATCTGAGGGACCACAGCACGGTGCCAGTAGGAATTTGGAGACTAGATTTCTAGTTCGGGAAAGGGCTTCCACTCACTGAGGCAAGGCTGCCCCATGCTGCTATTGTAGTAGCTTCTGCCCGCACTGAAGGTTCTGTTTTTTTTTTTTTTCCTCATCACATGCTGCCCTCCCAAGTAGAACCAACAGGGCCAATGTGCACGATCACTGACTTCTGAAGCTCAGTAAATATTCTCCGGGGCCAATGGACTGGTGACCTTGAAAGACTTTCTTTCCCGAGGGGGAAGGTGAGAGGTGGTGGTTTCTTGAGTGGTGCTGAGACAGGCTGTGACTCAGGAAGCCACGGAAAACCCAGCCACATGTCACATCCGCCTGCTGTCAGTCTCAAGTATTAAGTTAGTGAAAGAGAGAGAGAGAGAGAGAGAGAGAGAGAGGAACGAAGGGAGGGAGAGAGAGAAAGAGACAGAGAAATGAGGGGAAAGGTAGCCATGGTAGGAGAGTTTAGAGAAGAGGAAAGTGGGAGCACCAGCTTGCTTGGGCCATCCCTCATTCAACAATGGATTTGCAGAGCCCTTTCCAGCATGAATGCTCAAGGCCATCCATTTCTTTACCATCACACATCTACCCTACAAGGCTGTGGGGAACAAGAGCAGAACATGCCATGCAAGTCTATTAGAGTGAAGCTGCACTTTATTAGAGGTTAAGGTACTAAAGTTATAATATAAGATATAATCAAGTTGCTGTCCAGTTCCCAGGACTTCAGCCTTTGATGCCAAAGACCAAGAAACCACTTCTCTTTTCACTTTGCTTTTAGACCATAGCCTCCTTTCCTCTGAGAGTGTGTAAGTAAAGAGCAAGTTTGATGGGTAGTAAAATAAAGGTACTTTCCTCCCCTCTCCCCCAAGGGTATAGAGTTGAATTTGTGTAATTAGACACATATGCGATGTGATGCCACTTTAACAAATAATTAAGAAATACAAATAAAACATAAATAAGTATAGAAATAATGAATAAGTATTATGTACTTCTTAAGGCTGTCAATATAAACTTAAGATTTAAGTAGACTACACCATCAAATTTCCTACCACTAGGCTATATCTCAAACTTTACTGTGCACACAAATCTAGAGATTTTTGTTAAAATGCACATTCTGATCCAGTAGATCTGGGACGAGACCAAAGAATTTGCATTTCTAACTAACTCCCAGGTGGTGTTGATGCTGTTGGTGTGAAAACCATGCTTTGAGTAGCCAGGAGGTATATAGACACCGACCTTGAGATGAATGAACATGAGCAGAGTGGAGGTAAAGAAAGATGATTCCCCTCTGAAACTTCTGAAAATGTAGAAATTCACATCTAATCCTTGACAGCCCAGTCCTTTCTCAAAGAAAAAATGGAATTCCCAGTCTTACCATTCTTAGTTGGATCATACTGGGCACAGCCTACTGCAAGCTTCTCCAGCTGAGAACAGCACCTCCACCTCCCATCCATCCAGAAATTAGGATGATACTTGGACACCAAACTATTGTTGTTCCTCGTTTCTGAAAGGGATTGACACCACAGAAGAGTTATTTCCAGGGCATTCTTTCAAGGATCATCAGTGTCATAACCTTCCTGTTGTGTGATCTGAGCAAATATTATCCACAACATTCAGAAAAATGGCAAATAAATTCACTGTGCTATCTACTGGGAGAACACGTGTTAGATTTGGGATCTGTGTTCTTCTTTGGTTCTGCCTCCAACCTGCTGTGTGTTCCCAGGTTGGGCAAACCCTCATCTGAGCCTCAGTTTCCTCCACTGTGCAATGAGGTTATTAAACTGAATCAGTGAACTTCACAAAGAGGATTTAGGGGCAATGGGAAGTCTGAGAGGGTAGGATTCCCACCTGTTCATCTTCTCACTTCAACCACAACAGTTTTGCTTTTAACCCTTCTAGCTGTGAATTTGAAATAAAATTCTGGTAGGAAAATAAAGGGACTCTGCTATTGGAAAAAAAAGAAAAGAAAAGAAAAGTATAAGACCCACAGAACTAGCCAGTTGATCACTAATGCTCCTTCCAGCTTCAACATCCTATGTGTAAAACCCCTGCACAGAGGGAGGGTGCCAGTGGTTATGCTTGGACCCTTTTGATTACTTTTTAGTGTTTGTTCTATATGTCCCATGATGTTTTTAATAAGGGCACTTTCCGGCTTACCCTGAACTTGCCTGTTCATATCCCATTTGAGACTCAAAACAACAACCGTGGAAGTAGATAGCACTTGTAAGTTTATTCTCAATTTTCAGATAGAGGAATCATGGCTCCAGAGATATAAAGAAGCTTGCTTCTCCTTAGTCCTTGCAGCTACTTAGAGACAGATTAATGTTTGAATCCTGATCTCCTGACAAATTGGGTGCTTCAGGCTAAAAGACCATAATAGTCACACAGATCCAGTGCTTTTTTTGGAGGGGGGGTGAGTCTTGTTCTAAGTGCCTTACAGGCCCTAACTCATTTAATTGTCCCAAGAACCTCATGACTGTTATTAGTCAAAATTTATAGCTGAGGAAATAGAGACACACAAAGGTCAAGGAACTTGGGCAAGGTCACACATTAATAATTGGCTAAGCTGGAATATTTACCTTAGTGACCTGGCTCTATATGCCATAGAATTAAGACACTGTGCAATTATGTCATCAGAAAAGTAAGGCTTAAGAAATGCACTTTTTGATGGCCTGAATGGCTTAAAAGTTAGCTAGTGTTTATTGGATGCTGACTATAACCAGGATAGTTTCAAAAGTTTTTCTCACATCAGGTTTTAGAGGCAGATTCTGTTATTCGCTCCTCCTCTTCTTGTTTAATAGATGGGGAAACCAAAACTCAGAGCAGCTAAGAACTTGCCCAAGATAGGAGAGTAAATGGAAGAGCCACACGTTTAACTTAAATAAGCCATCCAACCCCAGGCCACACTCTTATTTCTCACTTGTAGCAGGGATTACAAACTTTTTCTTAAAAAACCAGAGAGTAAATATTTTAGGTTTTTTGCTGAACAAGAGAAAAAACGTGTGTGTGTGTGGGGGGGGGGGGGGGGGGGGGGGGGTTCTTATTTAAGACTTTAAAATGGGCTGTTTAAAAATGTATAAATCTTGGTCTTAGGGTAAATACTTGGGACCTTATCAACACCAAAAGGGAGAAATGTTTGGGGTTAGTTGCTCTCAAACCACATTCTACTCTATTGTAGAACCCTAGCCTACCATAAGATGAAAGGTCTCAGTGACTCAATGGCACAGGAGTCTGATTACCTTCTTTAAGGGCCAGCACCCAGCGCTGCCGGCTCTCACGGTCTGGAGCAAACACATACAGTAGGTAGTTGTCGTGCACAACCTGGGGACATACACAAAATCCAATGTGAGCAGGGTGCCCAAAGATGGGTGACTGACAGCAGACACATCTGGCTTACTGGCTGAAGGAGGGGTCTCCAGTGTTTGTCATTGTTCATATAAGTAAATCTGGGTAATCAGGGAACTGGTCTCTAAGATGTTTTTATCCAGATGTTTAGGGGCTGTGCAATCAGAGGGTAAACATCCACATCTTAGGCTGCTTGTCTGAGATTCTATGCCACACAAGCTACTGCTAAATTAAAATAGGAGAAATTTCTCCTCTTGACTAGATAGCATGTTTATTTCTCCATGATTAAAAAAAAATCCTTACAGCATATGTAAGAATAAGTTATTAGATGACAAATGTATAATCAGAACTTTTAAAATTTCTTATTTTAAATAGTTAAAGGCTCACAAGAACTTCCAAAAATAGTACAGAGTTCCTGTATGCTTTTCACCTACCTTTCCCCACTGATAACATCTTACATAACTGTAGCATACTTTCAAAGCAGGAAATTGACATTAGTACAATACTATTAGCTAAATGAGAGATCTTTGAATTTCATCAATTTTTTCATATACTCATTTGTCACTGGGATTTTTAACACCTGGGAAATTCATGTGAATCCTTTTACTTTTGCTCTTGAAAATTCCAACTTATAGGTGCCAATTTTCTAGTAGGAAAAAAAATATTTTCTATGACACATTTAGTATGGAATATTCACCCCTCATGTTGGCAAGTAAGTATGGGATGTGCAAGGAGATATCCACATGTTTAGAGCCATAAATGCCAAGAGTGATAAGTCAGACGTACTATAGGTACCTTCCTCCAGCTCTGTTCAATAGAACTTTCTGCAGTGAAAAATAGTCTATAATCATCTGTGTCCAACACAGTATGTACTAGCCACATGTAGCTATTGTACATGTGCAATATGGCCAATGTGACTAGGGAGCTGAATTTTTAATATCATTTCATTAATTTAACCATCCACATAAGGCTAGTGGCTACTGTGTTGAACAGCACAACCATCTTCAGATAGTTCTTTAATTGCAAAATTGGAATCTTTTTCCCTTAAAAACCTTGAGCAATTTATAACCAAGGATCACAATCTGTTGTCCCACATCATGAGTAAATGGCACGGGAACATTAGGTGGGGCTCTTGAGAACAGCTCACTCTTCCTCCAGGTGCAGAGTAACTAGAACTTTCCTTGAGATATGGAAGAAACGAGAGAAAAGAGAATGAAAAAAAAACAACCTTTCAAGATTTTGTGCTTAGCCATTGCTGAATGAATGTTACAGCAGCTTTCTCATGGCTTGGTCTAAGTTCTAGGGCTGAAGAGTTATTTTTTCTTCACTTTCTCTCACAATGACTGAGGATTTTAATCATGGTCAGGGAACAAGAAACTATCTGCCCTAGGCCTGGTAGACTTACCTGAAATGGGTACTTATAGTGGCATGGGATGCTAATGTCACTTTTCACAATCTCAACACATTTGATTCGAGAGAGTTCAATGGAGCCCTTCAATGTACGCTTTTTCTGTGAGAAAAAAAAAAGTAGATACCATTTAAGTAGCAGATAAGACAATATTTTTAACTGGAATGCTTCTAGAAAGCCACTGCTAGATGAGTTCCATTACCTTTGTAAATTAACCCCAATGTTCTCAACCACAAAACCTAAAGCTGCCTCCTGGCCTTCAGTCTGATTAAATACAGTCTGAGAAAAGCACCGAGCAGACTTGTTGGAGAATGTGCCTTCTGAATGGTCTTCTTGACAAAGTCACTATACAGTCTCATATACCCTCCCTGTCCTGGTGACAAATAGAAGTATTTGCAGAACTCGTAGCTGGGAAGTGTTGTTCATTTTCCTATGGAAATGAACTAAAGAGTTGCCAATATTCTCTGCTGTGTGCCCATCCAATGACATTTTTCACACAGTAATTTTCACCTAGGCCTGACCTGGGTGGTAATGGATGCTATGAGTGACATCTTTCTTTCCTGAGTCTGGCTTCTCCATGTCCCTTACTTATTCACATTACCACAATTCCTTTCTATTCTCTGTAACTATCCCTCCTGTCCCACTTTTCCCCCTTTCCATTAAATCTTACAGGCCCATGTCTCATTCCCTTGGAAGCTTGCTAGATATATTTCCCTGGTAATTATGGTGTTTGTGATTTTTAATGATGTTACATGTTGCCCATTTGTAAGGGTCTTTATGCTTGGAAAATGGATCCCAGGGGATGGGATGATTCCTTACACAATGGGACCGATTCTATTGGTAGGCTGTCAAGCTTCAAGGAAGGCTAGTTAGGGAAAGGCTTTTAGATAGCAGAGGCTTTTCTCAGGTGCCTACAATTAGGCTGTCATTGAGCACAGAGTTTAATTCAGCTATGCCATTGCAAAACATATTGTAGATTGTCCTTTCTAAAGAGGTAGCAAATGGTGGTAAAATCAGTATGATATTGGAAAGGAGAGGTTTAAAGTTGGGCTTTGCCTCTTATCAGCTCTGTGACAATTCATCTAACCTTCTAGAATCTTGGTTTCTGTATCTTATGAGAATAACACCACCTACCTTTTAAGGGGTTGACTAGGGAATAAAAATATGATTATATACACAAATTGCCTGGTTTATAACAGGTGCCCCTCAAAAAGGGTACCTTCCCAAATACAGAGGCTAAGGAAATCCTAACGACTACAAGACAGTCATTATACACAGATGTACTTGGTTATCACTGAGATCCATGACATCATCAAATTCTCCAGAAGTGACTGCAGTCTTAACTTCCTGCCTTTTGATCCTCAGGCTGGAAGCAGATCTTTGCTTTAGTAGTTGAGGCACAGAACTGAGGTGAAAAAACTCAAGAGCTGAGAAATAGACCTCATCAAATACAGGGAAGCTTTGTGGTGTGTCTTTTTAAATTTTCTTATAAAAACTATTTTAAGCATTTTTGAAAACCAAAATCTATCCATGTTTAGAAAAACAACAACAACAACAAAAACGACCCAACATGGAGATATGTGAAGAAAATATTTATAATGCCTTATTGTCTAGCCTTCTCTAACCCTGAGGTAGCCCAGGGAAGCCACTTGCAATGTCGTTTTCTTTCTCCTGTGCATTTATAGTACACACACACACACACACACACACAAACACACACATGAGTATCCACTCACATATTGGTTTAGATGTTGCTTTTGTAATTTAACATTACAAGGTCTGTCTTACAAACCTCTGCAAACATGTACCCTTTGAACTCAAACTGACTTCTCATTTAGAGTCTTCCACAGCTAGAAATACATGCCCTTGTTCTGCCCATAATCATAGTTCTTAGGAATGGCTGATCTGTTTTGCAAAACCAGAAGAGCACAGAGGAGCTAGCTGCCTTTTCAACACCCATCTGCAACTCTTATGAGCAAGGAGCCTGACTTTGAGGTTGCCCTGTTTCTATCGCTATGGGTTTATTTCCTTAGTATATCTCGTAAAATGAAACAAAAGGCTCATGGCAGCATTGTGAGAACTCTGTTGGCTGACATTTTTGTGTTTGAAAAAGACTTAAGTTCAGAGCTTTTTGAAGGGCCGAGACCAGACATCTGTGCCATCTCCCAGTGGCTAGCAAAGAGGCTGGCCCATGGCAGAGCTAACTAGGAAGAGAAGACCAACCAGGCCAGAACACAGTTTAAATCATCTTAATCAGATTTAGGGCATTTAACTATTCAGAAAATATTTATCAAGTGTCAGCTATGAGCAAGACGTTGTTCTGAGTTCAGGAGATGGGGCCCATAAACGCTGCAGACTCTCTCATGGGGCTCATATTATACATAGTCCATGACTTAAGATGGTTTGATTTAGGATTTTGTTTTTCTTTGACTTTACAATGGTGTGAAAGCATTCAGTAGAAATTGTACTTCAAATATTGAATTTTAACCTTTTACTGGGCTAACAACATGTGGCGCCATACTCTGTCTCTCAGTGCTGGGCAGTGGCAACAAGCCTCAGCTACGGCCAGCCACATGGTCACTAGGAGAAACAATCAGTGCGGTACTCTAGAGTGCATTGTGTTGCTAAGCCAGGATGTTCAGTAGGTTAGGTGATTAAATGCAGTTTTGACATAAAATATTTTGAACTTATGATGGGCTTATCAGGATGTAATCCTATTATAAGCTGGGAAGGCTGAGAGACAAACCAAGTGCTATAAAGAGAATGGACAGGTAGATTTTGTAGATCTCACTGACAGGTCATTAGAGCAGGACCCTGGAGACAAGGCATTCCTGGGAGTCATCTGTGAGCAGGTCTAGGGGAGTGAACAGTCTCGGTAGAGTGAGCAGCCAAGCAAAATCCCTGGGTAGAAAAGTGCTAGGTAAGTATCTCTTCGCAATGGAGCATAAAGTAGAGGCAAATATTAAATGGAGTTAAGAGTAGGGATAAAACTTCTATGTGCGATTCTAAAGCAGCACTGTCCAACAGAAAAAGGAATGCAAGCTAACCATGGAATTTGTAGTTTTCCAGTAGGCACATTCAAAACAGTAAGAGTAACAAGTAAAATTATTTTGACAATTATGTTATTTAGCCTGCTATGTCTAAGATATTATCATTTCAAACTGTGATCAACATAAAAATTAGTGAGATATATTCCTTCTTAGTACTATGTTTTTAAGTGTCTGTATTTTATAGCACATCTCAGTTTGGACTTGCACGTGTAAAGTGCTCAGTAGCCACACAATGTCGAAGGGAGGTTTTTTCATTTCAACTCAGATGATCCCTTTTGATTTCTTAATATTCACTGGTTCCAAACATGGATTTTAAGAGACATATGTTACTTAGTCCATCAGGTGACACCACTTTTGGGTTTGCTTTTCTGTTGGAATGGATTTCATAGTTCACCATCAACATTCCTCTCATTTCCAAATGAGCGTCAGATTTTCCTCCTTCCAATGCATCCTGTCTGGCCAATGTCTCCAGAGGCCCCTAGGCCAGTTCTACTTGGATCTTAGAAGATCCAATATGTGGTAAATAGCAGGACCAGTTTTTCACTCCTGTCAGTCCCTGGGGAGCAGCCAGTGAACAGGCTACTCACAGTTCAGTCTCTGAGAAACCATGATTGTCTATAATCATCTCCAACAACTCTATTATTTCTGAAAAATGCCAGGATAAAACCTTCTAAGGAAACCACACAAAAGCTGCCAGAAAAAGAGAGAGACCAAGTCAAATCTGCCCTCATTCTTACTTGTTATTCTGTCGGCACCACTTGGGGTAAAGCCACAGGGTTTAGCTTAGCCTTGTTTCTTAGCTCAAAGCTACACTATCCTCACATTTGAATGCATTGCCTGTACATCTGCATGTGTCAAAACAATCCAAGATGCTGATGTGTACAAATCTGCATAAAAGGCAAGCTTGTGCAAGTAGCTTTTATATACTATTTCTTTATATGGTATTATTTTGTATAAAATAGAACTTGGATTGTGAATTTCAAAGAGAGAAGCAGGAAAAACAATAACAGACAATAATGAGGGCTTTTTGAGCATTTATACTTCAGGCACTGAACAATCATTTAATCATGATCCAACAAAGTATCATTCTTTTTTGTGTGTGTGTGTGTGTGGTACTGGGAATTGAATTGTTAATCAGGGGTGCTATATTACTAAGCTATATTACCAGTCCTTATACTTTAGATTTTGAGACAGGGTCTCATATGTTACCCAGGCTGGCCTCAAACTTGTGATCCTCTTGCCTCAGCCTCCCAACTACCTGGAATTGCAGGTATGCGCCACCTTGCTGAGCCATTCCCCCACTTTATAGGTAAGAAAACTGAGATGGGGAGAGGTCAGCTGTCTTAGTGAAAGGGCAGCATACAAGCTCAATTTTATGACTCCAGAGCCAGGCCACATAACTACTGTGCTTCACGGCTTTGTGCTTGCTCCGATTTTCATAGAAAATATTCACTACCCAAATCTGATGCTAAGCAATCAACTGCATGACCTATTTATTCAAGCCATGGCCTGGTAGAGGTTTATCTCTGCTTCTGCTGGGTTTCAAAGGTGGAGCACATTCCCCACTCCACCTTTGACTCCCTAACAGCGCTCCTTCTTTGCTTGGCTAACAGGCGGATGCGTAAGGAAAAATTACATGTCAGATTCCCCCCTCCAAAGGGGGCATTTCTACTTTTCTGAAAAACAACAGAACTTTAGCTTTCTGCTTTGGTGAGGCAGAACGAGTCCTGGAGCTTTCAGGTCCGGTAGACTCAGGTTTGAAGCCTAACCATGTTTCTTACCAGTTGTACAATCCGAAGCAACTCATTTGTTTTCAAAGTGGCATAATTATAGTCTCTGAATCAATGGGTTAATTAAGAGGATTTTTAAAAACTAGATAAATCTATGAGCAAATTAAAGTCATTAAAATGGTAATCAGGTCACTCAAAGGATACTTCCTTTCCTTATCTTTTTCAAATGGTATCCATAAAATAAGTCCTTGTTCTTTCTATGTCCACATTTTCTTTGGGAATTTTCTTTTGGACAAGTATGTAAACAAGAACCACCACTGGG